TTCCACTAGAGGGTAGCTGACATAGATAGGCATATTATAGGCTACTTTTTTACTAAGCGCTGTCAAAATGGTGTAACGGATGGTCCAAATTTGCGCTACCGAAGTTTGCGGGCTAGTCAAGATATAAAGTTATTGATAAATAAGATAGAATTATCAAACTATGATAGCTAAATTCATCGTTAATGAATCTATTAATTAACTGGGAAGGTTAAAATAGTTGTTGTGTCAAGGCTAACGGCTCGATAATAGCGGTTACATTACGAACGGTAATCTAACAGAAAACAAGCAAAAGATATAAATCCGTGCGATTAGATCAAAAAATCTATCAATAAATTATAAGAACCAGAACTCACAGATGACGTAAATTAGAAAAAAAGGTAACATAAATTACTCGATAAAAGAAAACATTCTTCTTATAAAATTATAAAAAAAAACAGTCCGGCAGTTTAAATATTATTACAATGTATTTGACTTGATCATTTCAACATATACGTTGATTTTGTACGAAAATTGTCTTTCAGTTATTACTATGCATGCAGCATAACATATAGTCGCATCGATCTTGACGCTATCTACCTCCGATAAGAAGATACAGAACTGACATGGTACAAAAAATAAAGAAGAAAATTAAAAATATACGGTCGAATACTAAAACGTCATTTAAAAATGTAACATCGTCTTACATGACAACGCCACGTATAAATTCCAAAATTCTTTCAATATTTGACCTCTATAATATAGTAAGCGGGGCTTCCGAAGCCATGTATTTAAGTTTCGTTTCAGTATTTGACTTTCAGATTCTATATCTTTCTGGAATTTGAGAAAGCTTAGTGACAAACAATAATTCGCCATCTATCTACTTTTCTACATTTTACGAAACTTCATGGATACGACACATATGGTTCATGGATATAGGTTGATAATCTAATAGGATGGTTGAATTAAAGTCATATAATAATATAAAATATTTGGTTTTTAAACTAACCTAACTTTAATATAAATCTACAGATAGACTTTAAAATATTAACATGTTCTAATTAATGTGAAATAAATAAAAAAAACTCTTTTAAAGTATGAATGAACACAATCAACATTTAACTGTATTCAAGAACCTTCTTTTTACCACATCCTGGCACTACTAACTACTGGCAAATAATCTGTCTATGAAATAATCACATGAAATTTCGAATAAATATGCTTAAACTTTATCTTCCTATAGTAAGCCTCTTAATATAATATAATAATAATAATACTTTTACAGCTTTTACAATCAATCAAATTTTCACATAGTTTCCATAGGGCGTACTTATTGTCTGAGGTCCAGCGACGTACGGTTCGTAAACTACGTTGACTTGTTTCGTATCTGACGAACTTTGTGTCCCATCTCTGCTCCACGAAGCTGCAATAATAAAAATACATTACAGCGCCCTCTATGATACAAACATCGTACTTGGTGTGAATAAGTGTTTTGTAACCTCAGCACAAGATGGCGTTGTTCTCAAATTGCGTGCAGAACTTTTATTCAAATCCTTACAGCGCCCTCTATGTTACAAAACAATAGCATTTTCTTTCACTTACACTACTAGACACAAGATGGCGGTATATTAAAATTACTCACAAAAGGGTATGTGTTCATCAGGGCCGCTGTGTCCATGCTGGCCGTTATGTATGTGCAGATGAATTTCTTTTTGTGGCGAGTGAGGTGGAGGCTCCCAGCCGCTGGAGTGGTGTCCCTTGTGACCGAACAGAGCGCCGATCTGAAATATTATATTCATTATTATATAGAACTAGCTGATGCTCGCGACTTCGTCTGTGTGAAATTAAAAATTATATTAAAAACACTGCCTTTGTTACTCAGTGATAACTTTTTAAAGGTAAAAGATTTTTTTAAATTGCTCCAGTAATTTTTAAGTTATTCCATTACATACAAAAATACAAATCTTTCCTCTTTATAATTTTAGTATAGATGTAGTAAAGTAAACATAAATAAATTACATTAACATAAAACATGAAACTTAAATACGTACATAAAATTATAATTTATTTTTTCTTAGAAGACAAGAATGCGACATAGATACGGGCCGACAAGTTATGAAATAAGATTGTTAAATTAAACTAAGCACACCTTTCACTTCAATTAGTGTCCTTTTACCGCGAGTTTTCACAGCTGATACATTCTTACTAGAACATTCCCATCCCTCTTATTATTATTAAAAACAACCGAGATAGCAATGTTTATTTCGACAGTTTTCTAAGGTCAATATCACTATGTTGATTCTAATAAATTGTGTTCAACAAATATTACCTTGAAGTTTTTACGTCACACGTGACCGTTTTTATCTCTTTTTTCCTCAAAGAATGTCACATTTCACATCCTTGTCTGTCCAGCCCTATAGAAAGTTACTTTCACTCAATCAGCATACATCAACCAATGACGTCATACCAATACGGCTATTCTAACGAAAACAGAAAAAGTAGAACCATAGAGAATAATGCTAGTTATATGATAGAGTGGACATGACATAAATTATACAAATCCCCTCCCAATGTAAATACAATCGGTATACTCAAAAGCGTTACGATTCGTTGGGTCAAATTAAATTGTACTATCTTAAGCCACTTCAAAATTAAAGAGATATTCAATTTGAGTGCATGTTTTTCAGTGCATGCTTTTGTATTAATTACTCGCATATTGCTATAAGTCTACATATTTTAAGACTAGGTGTCTTTTACAATCAAAAGACAATCAAGCACTAGTTCCTCTCTTTAGTAACATAGATCTGTTAGTTGTACAAAGTCGAGAGCAAAAAGTACATTAATATAGAAAATATCTATCTCGAATCTAGTTGCGTTTCTAGTCATTCGAACTAGATGATTTAAGTATGCTAACGGTATTACTATAAGTATTTCTGTAATGGAAACCAACTAAATTGTCTGCTTTTCTTATAGATATAAATATTGAAACTTGTGTGGAATTACGTATTTTAACAGTGATTTAGTTAGTGTGTCTAATGAGAGTCAAAGGCAAATTTTTCCCATCCCTATGAGGATTGGATTTAGTAAGTGAACAGACAGATAAGTAGAAGTGTCTTCTTTTTGTATCCTTCGCCTAATACGGTAGGCTGACCAGACCGATCTAAGCAACAATCGTAAACCAGAGATTGTAGTCAATTTGTAAACGGTGTACCTTGACAGCGCCGGCAATGAGTAGCAGTTTAAGAATGACGAGTGTGACGCCGAGAGTCTTGATGCCAACGAGCGCGGCAACAACCGCCCAGGTCGCTGCAGCACCCATCTGGAACACTAGCGGTATCAACGCCGCCGCCATTTTCTTGAACGGTCGCCCGAAAGTTCGCCCTGATCAAAACAAATGAATTAATCAAATATCTTTGTTATTCTAAAGGGAATGGTTTGATAATGATTATGTACTGGTATTTTGGCAATGAAAATGCAGTAACATCTATACTAAACTACACTAATATTATAAAGAGGAAAGATTTGTATTTTTGTATGTATAGAAATAACTCAAAAGCTACTGGGCCGATTTGAAAAATTCATTCACTGATAGAAAGGTAATTTATTTGTGAGTGACATAGGCTATATATTTTAATTTCACGCGGGCGAAGTCGCGAGCAACAGCTAGTTATTAAAAAAGTATGTAATGCAAAACAGAGTATGTTTTTGGACATGTTGTTGAAGACCGGTCAAACAAACTGGTGCATAATAACATAGGACCCTAATGCAAGTAATTTTGAATTAAGGTTTCCATTGACTAATTTATAAACAAGCGTATATCAAAATTTATTTAACCTTGGAACTAAACGTAATTTTAATAATTCAATCACCTTGACCTACGTAACTTAGTCTACCTTCAAATTATACGTTTTAAATTGTAAAGATGCTTTATGCGTACGACTCTATGTTTACAAAGCAAACAGATATATGATTTTAAAACTAAATTATAATTTTTAATGTAGACGTCGTCAGTCAATGATCTCAACTAGGTCAAAGAGGGAGCAATATTAATATGAAATACCATGAATATAGTCTTTTTTATGTAGTTTTTACAACTATTTCACATTTTTCGGTTCTTCAGAGAGGGCTAAAGTCCTGATTCTACTACTAGTAATATCTAGTGTGTATCTCATATTATTCATTTAAAAACAGGAAAGTAATTAACCTCGATGCGTTGTGAAAACTAACGTGTGACGAACGACCAGCGTCGATCGAACACATTTCCGAAGTTTTTGCGAGAAACAAATACCAATAATGATAAGCTTTGCGCGATTGCGAATGTCTATGGACAGCGGTCGCTTCGCCATTTTGACGGATTCAGGTTGTCGCTTGTTCGTTTGCCACTTTATGTTATAAAAAAGCAACATTAGCCGTCATTAATGCGGCAAATTCTTCACGTATGTCACAAACACTTATTGCAATGTTATCTGTGCAAACATTGTACGAGAAATGTGAACAAGAAATATTAGCACTACAGTGCACTTATGGCTGCGACTTTACAAAATAGTTATGTATAATATTGTATTATAGGAACATGTACATGTTGCGGAAAACGAGTAGTTATAAATAAAATGAAGGTATTTTCAATTGTCAAAATATGCGTTCTTTTATCGACAATTTATCGCATCTTGTTTACATTTTTTAATCATAAAAACATGTAAGACCACCTGAAACTAAACTATTACACGATGTTTTGGTCTCGCTGATATGGAGGTGCGCACATTACTCGATTTTTAGCTGAGCAACTAAATAGTTGAATTGGCTGCGAAACAATTGACAATAGCACAACGATTGTTTTGTCAAAGGTGTGCGCCCGCTCTAAGTATAGAGATCACTAAACAAGTTTTTCAACAACATAGACAAACGTATGTGCCTAATAAGTACTACCGTTTTGTCTTCCGTTACTTAAACAAAAATAACTCATTCTATAACGGTCAAAATCATACGTCTCGTAAATCTATCAACACATCACTGCTAATTATTGAATTTTATTATTTGAAATTGAAGTACAAATTGTGGTTAAAATGCGATTGATCTGGTGATGCCCATACTATGCAATGCCTGTATCGTGGGCATCGAAAACAGCAGGAAAAATATTTTCAATTATCTAGTCCAATGAATTTTAAGGTTATTGATCATTTCTATGAAAAGACTGCAATAAGTCAATTAATCGAGATTAAGTTATATATATAATTATAAAAAAAAAGTGTGTAACCTACGTGTTCTTTCAGAATGTCTTCAACGACTATACCAACATCGAGAGCCATTCTGAATTTTAGGCTACAAACTCTAACAAACATCCATCCATCTAAACTGTCGCATTTATAATATTAGTAAGAAATAAGTTTCTTATTTATTTGCTTATTTAAAAAGTCAAATATTGGAATTCGTAAAGTCATACTCAACACTTTACTTACTTACGAAAATTATATCTCATTGTACAGTTTCTTTGCAAATGATAGGTATCTTTTGTCTATCTATTTTATTTTTTGTTTGTGGCTATAATTTAGAACTGCTAAAATCCAAAACCAGTACTTGACTTGTCATTTTAAAATTATATTAATTATAGACATGAAAATAACATGGACCGACTTACGTACAAGTTTTTTTTGGTCAACATGTTATAGGAAACATGCTATAAATCATATTGTACCTTGTTTTTCATTCTATTTTGAGTCATGACACGGAAATGTTAAATAAACATAAAATTTATATAGGTATTGTTCATTGTGTTCACATAGATAAATCTATCTGATATTACAAAAAACATTGTTTAAACAATTCAGGAATATTCATTGAAATAAAATAAAAGTAAAATCAAATATTTCAAGTCGATTTCTCATATTTTTCCGTTTCTCTTTCCGTTTCGTTGGTTGCATCCCTAATTACGAACCTTGCACTGACATCTGACGATCAATATGGCCTTGATTCGATTCCTCGGTTGGCTGTATCGGATAACTAAATTGTTATTTCGCTAACTATTTACTGATCTACTAAATAATACTCAATTGTTAATCCACACATATTTTAATATAATTTAACACACGTAACACAAATTTCAGTATTTTTAAGGAGTTAACACAAAAAATATCTAAACTAACTACACTTTTTTTTAAAATGGTTGGAAAAATCCATTTGATACTTCGAGGAAATGCTCTAACGGTCCTTTGTTTTTTATTTCCTACTAGCTGTTGCTGGCAACTTCGTCCGCGTGAAATTACAAATATACATAAATTATCTTTCCAACGGTGAAAGAATTTTTAAAATCGGCCCAGTAGATTTCGAGATTTCAATACATATAAAATACAAATCTTTCCTCTTTATAATATTAGTATAGACGAAGTTTAATTAGCGGACCGACACTACCATGTTTTTGACAAGCAAACTATTAATAACAATTCAAATTGAGATGTTATGTAGAGCTTAGGAGATAACATTACTGATGGCTACTAAGAGAAAGTAATGATTGGTACAAGAGATTTGATAAACGTACCACATAACAATTACGTTTGACAATCACGCGAGTTATTTTATAAATGAACTTACGAGAATGTTAATTGCCTTTTACGCTTTCTAAAATTAATAAAATCATCAGAACTATATTTTTACATAATAGCAGGTATTTATTAATTTCATAACGTTTATTAAAACCAGCATATTATGCTGGATGTTTGTGTTAAAATACGATTAACGTATCCTACATGGGATTCGACCCTACGACCACATGCTGTTCACAAGTGTGCGGTAGTCATATAACATACGTGCCCCCTTACAAACAATAGAAAAAGGTTATTTAAAAAATAAACCATATAAAAAACATACCGATAGAATTGTCTGTTGCAATTGCCCGCTGTTCCACATTCTTATTAGAAATATATTCACTTTGGTTTACTGTAGAACTGTTTCTATTAACAATTAAATTATTATGATTATTATTTAAATTATTAAAACTAATTTTTGTGTCACTAATACTATTTACTTTTGCCCCGTAACCGGGTCGCGTGTTGGATATTAAAAACAAACACACGAAAGTCATATAAACATTTGTTCGTCCTCTTTTATTTATTAGCAATATGTGAAAACAAGGTATGAACCACTTTATTATTTCCTTTAAATCCATCATCTTGTATATTTCACTGTACTTTTTTAATTTAAGACTAATTTTTTAAAGCAAACGAACGTCATCTCACTGAGAACGTTACAACAAAACTGACGTGAAGGTGGTAAATGGCGGTCGTCGCAGCGCATTTCTTCTTTCTCTCGTACTCAGACCTGTCTTCAATTCACAGACCAAAAACTTTCGATTTTCATTGATATTCGTGTTCCGTTTGCGCGCGCTTTAAACTAATTCAGGTAAAGATATTTAAAATAACTGCTTTGTAACTATTTGGGCATTTAAAAATAGCGAAATTAGGAAAGTCTACTTTCGTTTGGTTTGTCGCAATAGGCATGCAAATGGTTTTGTTCAAATTGTATGTATAAGAGGTAATTTGTATTGTTTTAAAAATAGTGCATTTGCATTTCTATTTACGGAAGTACTGTAAATAGCAGGTTCAGATCCCTAGGCACAACCTATCCTTAGACTACGCT